TTGGGGTTTGGGGTTTAGGGTTTAGGGTTTATGGGTTAAGGGTTAAGGTTTTTTTTCGCTCCCGCATAGCTGGCCGAACTGCAGGCAGGCTTTGGATCCGCTTGTTCTTGGAGGACAATGATGGGGGCAGTCGGTTCTCAACCGGTGCGGTTTAGGGCTTAGGGCTTAGGGTTTGGGGTTTAGGGTTTCGGGGTTTGCCAAGACACTTTTCATCTCTGAGTCGGTCAGCTGGAAGGAAAAGAGCGCCAAGTCAGACTTCATGTGCTCGACGTTTTCCTGCGACTTCGGAACCCCAAACCCTAAACCCTAAACCCTAAACCCTCTGTGCCTTTTTGGGGAAAACCGAGCAAAGCCTAAACCCCGAACCATTTTTGAACCCAGGCTCCCTAAACCGTAAACCCTAAACCCTAAACCCCAAACCCTAAACCCTAAACCCTGAACCCTGAACCCTAAACCCTAAACCCTGTGGAGGTGGTGGTTGCTGGAGCTCGACAGCCAAGGCACGGTGCCAACCACGACGCTGACGTGTTGCTGAAAGGACCACCTGAGAACCACTTGGGCCTTGGTAGCCCAGAAGTCGAGTTTAGGGTTTAGGGTTTAGGGTTCAGGGTTTGGGGTTTAGGGTTCAGGGTTTAGGGCTCAGGGGCCCCCTTTTCTTGGGTTGGCTACTTACATAAGGGAACCCTGTAAACCCCCCCAACATGGGAAGGGGTAGCACTGGGCCGCCAAGGCGCGGTTGAGACGTTGTACTTGGCTGCCACCTCCTGCACGGGTATATGTTGCCAAGCAACTCCTAGGGGCCTCCATGTCGCATTGTTTTAGGGCTTTTGGGGGTTTCGGGTTGGTTCATGGTGTAGAACGAGTACCCTTGATCATCCTTGCACATGAAGAACATCCCAAAGCGGCTGGGTTTATCTCCAGAACCCTAAACCCTAAACCCTAAACCCTAAGCTTCAGTCCTTCACAGTTGGGTCCGACAAAGCGCTGGCATTTTGCCCAGACAAAGGAGACCAGGCTTCGACCTGAATGCCATTGGCATCGCAGTAGGCCTTCCTAGGCTCGTGAGACTCCAAAACATTGAGAAAATATGCCTAAATCATATTAGGGTTCCTATTATAATTTAAGGGATCGTCCTTAATTAAGGGGTTTAGGCGCTCGTGACACGCAAGTGCGTCAACGTGTCATCTCTGGCATTTCGGCAACTTTTCTGTGATATTGATACAAGGGCCTGAATACTTCGGGTTTTGGGGGACTTTCTTGTATAATCATATAGGGACCATAAGGGAGTACTATTAGCAATTACTCCGACCCCTATATTCCTTCCGGAAAATACGACTCATACTTCACTGGCAGTGGCTCACGAAGGTAAACCATCAAGTTGTTGCAACGAGTTACAGCTGATCATCGTGATGGTAGGGGTGCCATTCCACCTGATTCACTGCGGGCTTCTCTGCAAAGTCGCTGATTTCCTCAGCCGAGGCTGAAAAAAAAACGCGCTACATTGGGATGTTCCCCTTATACTAATGTGCTGTGTATGTTGTTTTTTGGCATTTTGAAGTGGGATCAAGCGGGTTGGTTGTCAAGCTACAAACGGATCCCACATGTCAACCATGTTCAAAACAATAGAAATATCAACAATGACAACGATAACGAGCATAACAAAAACCGTAGTACGAAGCAGAAGAATACTAATGACCAAGAGTGCAAGGCTTTTTTGCGGGTCCTTGTCATTTGTGGGTTGAAGCTTACCTCGAACCACGGCCGCAGTATCCTCCCTGCTTCACCCTCTATCCCTTCAATGGTGCTGTCCTCAGTTTAGGGTTTAGGGTTTAGGGTTTAGGGGTAGCTTCCCAAATTAGGGTCCCTTCTTTGGGTACCCACCATAAGGCGGCACCCTTTCAGAAGGTATCTCAAAAAGGGGCCCTAACTTGGAGAACTCACCATCTGAGCTTCCACCAGGTGCTTCACCTCATAGTTGGACACCCCCACGGCACGCACACGCCCCAAGCGAAGGGCCAACTCCATGGCCGCCCATGTGCCCCTGCGCACCTCCGTGCCCGGGTCGTAGTAGGGAGGCGTGCATTCGGGTCCTCCGGTGATGCCGTTGCACTCTGGCTTCACGGCGAAGGGGAAGTGGACCAACACCTCAGAGATGTCTTTCTGGGTTTAGGGTTTATGGTTTTTGGGGGACAAGCTCGTGATTCGACCTTACACACCGGCATCGGGGCAGGATTGGTCCTAAGAAAACTTCGGCCAGCACATTTGGACACGAATGAAACCCCCTTCTGGCACAGCTTTGTTGGTTAAAAAACCATCCTCCAAGCTGGCGTTCCCAACCCTAAACCCTAAACCCTAAACCCTAAACCCTAAACCCTAAACCCTAAACCCTAAACCCTAAACCTTAAACCCTAAACCCTAAACCCTAAACCCATACCGAAACTCCAAAAACCAAGTCCGGAAACCAAATCGATGTAGGGCTTCGCTTCGCTGTAGAAGCCCAGCATCTGAATGTTATCCTCGATGCCTCAGGGCTTCGGCGTCCATACCCAAGGTCTTAGGGTTTAGGGTTTAGGGTTTTTGGATTTAGGGTTGAGGGCTTTTGGGCTTAGGGTTTAGGGCTTAGGGAGCCATACATGAACGTGGCAAGGCCAATTGGGTTCTGGACATAAAGGATGGACCAAAACTTCAATCCCTGATAGCGGACGGCCTGGAACAACGATGGTTCCAATGAGTCTATTGGTACCCCAAATACTTGACCCATCGCATATTCAGCGATATTGAAAATCAATTTCGACTGGGTAACTCGGGTGTCTTGGACGACTTACATGGTTTCCTCAGTTGTCCAGTAACCTGGGGGAACTAAAGGTTAACCTTTGGGACTTTGGGAGTATAAGGGGACTATATTACTCCAAAAAGGGCTAAAGGTTACCTACTCTACAACTAGGTTTCAGGAAAGGCCAAAATGCTTCATCTGGTCTGCCCCTTCGTCGAACCAGTGGCGAAGTACCGAGAAATCGCTCAAAACCCCACCTGGCACCCAAAGGTGTGATGCCCCCCCAACCCCCCACCCCCCCCCCCCCCCAACACGCCTCTCTCAAAAATGTGATGTTGCACTTCATGACTGTCACTCTTCAGCCCAATCTGGCCATATGCACTGAGCAAGTATCCCCTCCCAGAATCTCCCAACTAATGAACAAGAAACAATCAATGAGAACAACTTGCCAGCCCTTGACCCAGTTGCACTGGAGGGTGGCATTGAAGCCAATGGCCCCAGGACATTTCGTGGTGACGAAGACCTCCTCCCGCGCACGACCGGAGGCTTTCAAGGCCTCACCAACTTGTACCTGGGTTCGATAGTCGTTGGCCTCAGCGGAATCGACTGTCGTGATGGGTGTCGTGATGGTTCATGGGCCTTTCCCATCATGTATACATGTCACATGTAGCTAGGTTGGCCCTTACCCTCTGAACAATCATTCTAAATGTGATCCTCCTGAACCCCAGAAAAGGAAAAGAAAGAAATAAATAAATATATAGATATATATATATATATTTATTTATTTATTTATTTACTTTTTTATTTATATATACATTGTCCCCAAAACCGCCCCCCCCCCCCCCCCCCCCCCCCCCCCCCCCCCCCCCCCCCCCCCCTTGGGGCAAGGCCCCGGCTTCTCCCACAGTATTCCGCATGGGGGGTTTACGATATTCGGGTATACCTTATTTGGGATACCCTTTTCTTGGGTCTAGGGTTAAGGGTTAAGGGGAACCTTATTGAAATCCTTACTAGAAGGGGGATCCTACTATTTGGGGGTCTCTATTAGGGGGTTTCCAGAATTCGCAACCCCCCCGGTTGCGGAAGTAGAAATGTGGAGAGCTACAGGGTGGGACCGCGGAAATTTGGAACGTCGAAGCGCAGATCTCGAGAGGCCAAGAAGAAAGCCAAACAAACTTGGGGTTTGTGCAGGTACTCTCTGCAACAGCAGGCTCCACGCTAGTGCAACCAGCCAGGCAACCAGTGTGGGGTTTAGGACACTTGGCGGTTTAGGGTCGATTTGGGCTGGTAGCTTACCCCCATACCCACCCACGCTCACATGATTGGTAATTGGCTATACCAGGTGGATGTAAGGTTTCGGGTTTAGGGTTTAAGGGGGGTGGACAAGAGACTGAGACCGCAAACGAGATTTGTGATTGGCTTCACCTCAGTGAGCCCTCTTGCCAATCGAGCACGGCGAAAAGGTCTCAACATGTTCTCACCTACGAAGCAGTTTGCTGAACAGATGTCTTTCCATTGGTACTTTCTCTCAGTTCCAGAGCCCAAGCGACGGAATCCACATGAGTTCCACCAACATCCTGCAGCCACGACTGCACAGCATGTCGCGCATGCTCTTGTGCACAGGAGTAGTTGTTGCCGGCGCAGTCCTTCCACGTGGCTTTTCTAAGGGAGGGCGAATATGGCCCCTTACCTTCTTTTAAAGGGTTCTCAAGTCTGCCCTAAACCCTAAACCCTAAACCCTACACCCTAAACCCTAAACCCTAAACCCTTGTTGGGTTCTTGGGCTTATCGGGTATATCAGGGGTATAAGGGTTCCCGGGCCCAAGAGTTTTTTTCATGAGGCCGTCTAAGAGCCGGGGGTTTAGGGTTCAGGGTTAGGCTCCTCTTCAACCACCAGCAAGCAAAAATCGGGAGACACGACCGACCAAGTGGGACCCCTCTCCTCCGTGCTCCCCCCCCCCCCCCCCCCCCCCCCCCCCCCCCCCCCCCCCCCCCCCCCCCCCCCCCCCCCCCCCCCCCCCCCCCCCCCCCACCCCCTTTAGGGTTTAGGGTTTAGGGCGGAGGGTTTAGGGTTCGGGGTTTGAGTTTAGGGTTAGGGTTTAGCGTTTGGGATTTGGGGTTTATATAGGGTTTAGGGTTTAGATCACTTGTGCCGTCCTTGTAGCTCCCGCGCCATGAGCCCATGGCCACCATTGGCATCTGGACCCCATGCGGCAGTTGGACGCATGGAACGGACTCATTGACGCAGAGCTTGGCAGCCGCAATCGCGGGCAAAATCCACCTAAAGGTTTCCCAAGAATAGCTTTTGGGGGTCCCCTCGAAGGGATGCTAAGGGGATTCTATTCTGTTTGGGGTAGAAAAGGGGTACGCGGATTCTGGGAACATATTCACCTGTAGGTTGAAGGTACCGGGCTTCAGGAGATCATCAAGATGCAAGAATCTGTTTTGTTGGCGACATGATTTCCCTTTTGGGGGGTACCCTGCATTATTTATCAGGGCTCCACACAACAAAGGAAACCCCAAAAGCAAACCCCCCACAAACAACTGCGGGTTCAGCCAACCCGTGGCATCAGGCAGAATGCGCTCTTAGCTTCTTATATATATATACATATATATATAATGTTATATTGTAATGTATTATGTTATATTATGTTATATTATACTATATTATACTATATTATACTATATTATATTATACAGAACATGCATACTGGCAAGCTGTGCTGCACATGTGCGGTTGCGCATACGCGTGTCGTACCGTATGCACTTGTGCATACATCAATACGTCGCACCATACGTGAGATCCATGAATGATATAAACATATGTACACATGTGCACACATTCATAGTCGAAAGCATGGGATATTCGATCATTGGGCAAAAAGGTATCATCTGGTTCTTGGTTGAGCTACCCATCTTCAGAAGGATCTTGCTTAAGAAATCACAACACGTTCCTGGAAATCAGCCAGCAACCCGCAGAGACGCAGCATGGCGGGCCAAGAATAGGTGCCGCCGGGGGATGCCGAGGAATAACTTCTACGAAAGCAGAGCCGAGATTCGTGCCACGGGTCGCGCTCATCGGCTGGGCGTCACGAGATCATTACCATCAACAGTAACAAGGGTTTAGGGTTTAGGGTTTAGGGTTTCGGAACATCAGCAACATCATCGTCATCAGTCCTCAGCGCAATGAGTCCAGATCCTTCGTCTGCACAGCCACCCAACAAGACCCATCTGCAGCGTGGCATCAAGTACGTAGCAAGCGTGCTATTTCCCTACTCCTACCCGCTGATGCCCTAGAATGAGCTTACGACAGAGCTCAAGGATTCGGTGCGTGAAGCACCGCGTTCGGTGTCAAACACCTTTCCATGGCTGAGGTGGGATAGCAATCGATAACTCTAGTCTGCTGGTTTTTCTGGACACACGCAACCTCATTCTACTGCCGGACAAGCAGGATTGGATGAGCCTTGCTTGTTGATAGCTAGGAGGGCTACTGTCGTTCAATAGGGTTTAAGGTTTAGGGTGCAAGGTGTAGGGTCACCCTAAACCCTGCACCCTAAACCCTAAGCCCTAACCCTAAACCCTAAACCCTGAACCCTGGATATGTTACGGCTTCCTACGCCTGGCGCCCCGGCGAAGCCCCCGCCAAGCCAAGGGCGACTGGCGCAAGGGCCTGGGCAGGGTCAGCCCTTTTGACGGCTTCTATGGCTACTCCCGTCAAACCCTAAACCCAAAACCCAAAACCCAAAACCCTAAACCCAAAACCCAAAACCCTAAACCCTTGGATCCTAAACCCTACACCCTAAACCCTAAACCCTTAGGGTCCTCAACTTTCGTAAAGCAACCTTGTAGGGTTTAGGGTGTGGGGACTTCCGGTGTGCTTGAGTCTGAGGGAGGTGGCGTCGACCGTGTCCCAAGTGACCCCGATGCCTGGAATCCAAAATCTCGAAGTCGGCTTAGGGTTTAGGGTTTAGGGTTTAGGGTTTAGGGTTTAGGGTTTAGGGTTTAGGGTTTAGGGTTTAGGGTTTAGGGTTTGGGGTTTGGGGTTTGGGGTTTGGGGTTTGGGGTTCAGGGTTTAGGCTTTAGGGTTCAGGCTTAGGGTGCAGACCCTGTTAAAAGTTCCAAACTCAAGGCTAAAGCCACCTACTGTGGTAGGGGGGGTGGGGTGCGAGGTGGCCGGCGCCTAAGACCCCCTCCACCTCGCCGAAGAGCCTCTTCTTGGGACCCTGTACTGTTCCCGCATTTTTGGGTCCTGGCCATCTGGCGTTTGGATTTCAACCCTAGACCCTAAACTTGACCTGAAGGCCAAATGACAATCCACCTGTGGATTGCCTTTTTTGGGTGGAAACCCCACCCCTCCCCCCCCCCCCACCCCCCCCCCCCTAAAAAAAAGAAAAAAAAAAAAAAAGGGGTTACAAACAGGGGCCCTTTTTTGGGGGGGATCTGTTTAACGGATTCTATTCTATTTTGGCATACAAAGGGGCTACCCCTATTTTGTGAAACGCCCAAGTTGTTGGGAGGCCCTATGAAGCGTCCTGGAAAGATCTTCGAAGTCTTGCAAGACCCTATAGAGCCCCTACCTGCCCGAAGCTTCAAAAGCCTCGAGAAGCTCGTATCTGCGCGTCAGACCTAAAAAGGCATTGGTGGAAGCAGTTGAAGCGCGTGTAGGCCTAAACCCCCAGTTGGGGTGTTGCTAGGCCGCCGATGACGCATAAGGGGCGCGGATGATGAAGTGCTCCAAGCTTAGGATTTAGGGTTTGGGGTTTCGGGTGTATGGTTTAAGGGGCAGCACTTATAGAGTTTAGGGTCTGGAAAGCCTGGTGTCCATCTTAGCGCCCGGCCATCAATCGCTGAGGCGAAGCTGCATGTTGTGAACAAGCGGTTGGCAAATTTCAACCCTACTAAACCCTAAACCCTAAACCCTGAACCCTAAACTCTAAACTCTAAACCTGGTTGTTGCGGGATTCGAGGTTTGGAGGGTTTCCGGGTGATCAATCTCTGCAGGGCTGATGCGGCGGGGGCTTCAATCTCTGCAGGTCTAGGCTATGACATTATGAGGGCCGGGGCTGCTCATGTGCATTGTGCTGACTGCTGTAGCTGCGAGGAGGGCTGTATAGTAGGCCCTATGCTATACCATAAGCCTCCTATACCCTAAACCCTACAAACCCTACAAACCCTACAAACCCTACAAACCCTACAAACCCTACAAACCCTACAAACCCTACAAACCCTACAAACCCTACAAACCCTACAAACCCTACAAACCCTCCAAACCCTACAAACCCTACAAACCCTACAAACCCTACAAACCCTACAAACCCTACAAACCCTACAAACCCTACAAACCCTACAAACCCTACAAACCCTAAACCCTACAAACCCTAAACCCGATTGACAAGTATACAGGCCATGCGGGCTCACGTAGGTTCTACAGAAAAAAAACAGGATCTGATGCCTGCCAAAGCCAGCGGGATGCACATCGGACTCCAAAGTCCCTGTGTCTGAAGGTTTAGGGTTTATAGGGTATAGGGTTTAGGGTTTAGGGTTTAGGGTCCTAAACCCCCCTCCCCCCCCGAACTTGCACACACTTTCACCTCAACCTCGATCACCCAAGCCATCCGCGCATCCTCACTGGACTACTTGGAGGTTCATGGGTACTTATATCCCCAGTTTTAAGTCTGCTAATAACCTACTTAGGAGACTTAGGGGGCTTATAAGTACAGTTATAATTCGGGGTGATAAGTACCCTGAACCTCCAAGTACGACAGCTACAAGAACCTCCCCCCCTCCTGCCCCACTGCCTCGCTCCTCTTCGGCTCTCATATGAGGAGGCACATTTGTACTAATTGAGGTTTAGGGTTTAGGGTTTAGGGTTTAGGGTTTAGGGTTTAGGGTTTAGGGTCTAGGGGTGTAGGGTCATCGGATCTATTTCTTGCCTTCCACCTGCTCTTTGAGCAGTTCGCACGAAGCGGCAAAAGCTGCGAAACGAGACTGTGGACCACACGCCGAGCCCGCCAAGCTTCTCAGACACACTGACACTTGGCGGTTTAGGGTTTTAGGGTTTAGGGTTTAGGGCTGGGGTTTAGGGTTTAAGGTTTTAATTAAGGAATATACCTTAAACAATAAAGGGATCCTAAGTATGATTTACGGTATTCTCCTCCTGGGACGCTTTTTACCTACAGCTTAGTAGCACCTACCCTTAATTGGCAGGCAAAACCCATAAAACTGCAGGTAGAGAGCTCTTAGGGTTTAGGGTTTAGGGTTTAGGGTTTAGGGTTTAGGGTTTAGGGTTTAGGGTTGGCCAGGTCTCAAGAGCTGAGGCTTCCCCGCATCTTCAATCGGTCAGGAAACCAAAGTTCAAATCCCCTACTGCGGCCCCAGATCTCCCAAAAACCCCTTAAATAAAGGAACATACCCTCATTTATACTAAGGATCCTAATTATGAATTAGGGCTCTATTCCCTTATTCAAGGGCTTTGGAAGATCTGGGGGATGATAATTCGCGGTATGGGCCCTAAGGCTGCCGAACTTCTGACCCTGAAACTCCGTAAGAAGCACTCGGGCCGCGGGCTCTTTGGCTGGTGGCCGCTTACTGTTTGACCCCAGGCGCAGCTGCCCACCAAACAGGGGCCCCCGCCCCAATGCTTTGGCTTCACAAGCCTCCTGTTTCAGCAAGCCCATAGAACTCTAGGGTTTGAGGTTTAGGGTTTAGGGTTGAGGGTTCAGGGTTTAAGGTTTAGGGTTTAGGGTTCAGGGCTGTAAATCTGCTAGAACCGGCCAGACTGGCGGGTGGCAAAGTTTGCTGGAAGCTGCCCAGGCTGGTTCTGAAGCGGTGAAACGGAGACGCTGAGGCGCTTCAGGCCTAAACCACGCAAAGCCCCAGGAGTATACTGAGAATACTTGTAGTATTTTGCATGACATTATAGGCACAGTAGCACATTTACTTTACAATGAAGGTTGTGAGAATCTTCGTATCCAGTTATTTGAAACCCTAAACCCTAAACCCTAAACCCTAAACCCTAAACCCTAAACCCTAAACCCTAAAATTCTGTTTCGAGACCTGCCAGTCGAAGCTTCTGCGAAGCAAAAGCTCTGAAACTTCAATAAGTGGCCCTTTCTCCTCGAAACAGAGTTTAGGGTTTAGGGTTTAGGGTTTAGGGTTTAGGGTTTAGGGTTTAGGGTTTAGGGTTTAGGGTTTAGGCTCTGAACAACTTGTTCTTGTGTTGAAATC